TGTTGTTTGTGGAGTGACTCATGCAGCCAGCTGTGGCTCTAGGGTTTGGTGTTACATGTTATTTTGTAGTTTATTGTAAAAAAATCGGTCACAGTTCCTATGATCACTGTTACATTGCATTTATGCCTTTATTTTGGTGATTTCTAAAAGTTTTTTGGTTTGGCCATGTTTTTGTTTATTGTAGTACGGAGTTAGACTGATGGCCTTAATCTAAGTTTTCTTGTTGTTTAACTTGCATCCCACTGGGATTTTTGCACACAGCGTTGGTGTACGGTGTTATTTCAGGAATATTTTGATGTTTTTTCCTGGATTTTCTGTTTGCACATGCACAAAGTCACTTTAAGATGTTTTCTTATTCATGTTTTTGTTTTTTGTTTGTTGCGGTTGCACCCGATTCAAGAGCCGAATGGCTCACAGGGCTATACCAAATAAATGAAACTATGAAAACTATGAAAATGCTTTCAGACCGCATCCATTATTTTTCGTCTCCCCCCTCCTCTTTTCCGAACATAGATGGACTCGTCCATCTGAACAAACTGTCAAATCTCTCTCCGTGGTGCTAACGTTAAAAAAATAACCGCCACTTTTTTCAAATTTTCTTGTTGTGGTTTTCACACCTGATGATTGCTTGTGCTGCAGTCGAAACGTCGTGAGAATTGTATTGTTTTATATTATTATTTTATTGTTTACCTTCTACGTCACTTTACCGAAAGAACCAAGAATAAGCCTCACCTGGTGTTGTGGGCAGGTCGCTTCTGAAAACAAGAGCGGTATAGCAGCTCAAGCGGGCTTGGCCTGGTAAAAAAATAAAATAAAAATTGCGTGAATATTTAAAGTAAAAAAAGTTACGAAGTGGCGAGCCAGGTGAAGACAAATTAAAATTAAGCGAGATAATTGAAGCAAACGCGATCAGGCGAGGGCAGGAGGCAAGGCCCCGCGTTGTAAAGTTCCAACCGGGACATCGCTTCCATGCTCGCTGTTACTCAATTGACATCCCTACGAGAGAGAAAGAGCGAGGCTCTACCTCGGTAAACAACAACCACCACCACAACCACAATCACCACAACCACCACCACAACCGTGATGAGAATTTCTCACCTAGGATTTCAGTGCACGGGCGGAGCGGCAGATTCATGTTACCTCGCGACGTCACGCGGCAGCAGCTGACATGACGTCACTTGTGAGGTACGCTAAGACTCCCCTCCCACAATGAGCGGCTCCGGACGTGAAAAAATTATTCTAGATTTGAAGTTTTCGTGACTGCAATGATCAATACTCTTTGGTTCCTTAGGTAAAGTCACGTAGGCAAAAAAAATATTTTCTTTAGGTAAAGTCACGTAGGCATTTTTTTTTTACTTTTTTTAACCTACGTGACTTTACCTAAAGACCAGAGTATGAATAAATTATGTTAATGAACCCGGCCCATATGTCGAGGGATGGGGCGTGGGTGCTGAACCCGTTGCGACGGCTTTCACTAAGACATTATGTTAATGAGCCGCCAGTCACTGGGCGTGGCTTTGCCCAAATAAGGATGGCACTGGAACAGATATCGGCAGCGGCCTAGCAGAGGTGACGTCACGCTCAAGAGCTCAGTGGTCGGGGGAGGGCGAATAGCTTGGTGACATGATGTCACTAGAGAGGCACACCTCCCCCTGGCGTTTGACGCCAATGAGGTCATGCTGAGCGGTGACGTCAGAGAGCGGCAGTGTCGTGGTGAGCGCTGCGCTCCGCACCCGACCAGCCGAGTTCAATTCCCGCTCGTGGCCTTAACCGGTGACGATTTTCTGAACCGGTCCTGAGCCTCCCCTACGTCGACTCAGCCTCAAACGAGTACCCGGTGCGGTGTGTAAACATCGCCACTAGGGAGACAAAGGCGGCCGGGCGTGGTGCTGGGCACCCACCCCCTCGTGTGCCGTCCCACCCTTAATAGGTGCTCGCTAACAGCACTTGCCCCTAGTCTGTTAAGGCTATACGGGGGATCTTTGTGTTAGATGCTCGCTAACAGTACTTGCCCAAACATTCTGTCCAGGCTATACAGGGGATCTTGTGTCTTTGTGTTGCGAGCAAGTTTGAGTGGCGTGTAGCCGTGGGAGTTGAACGGGCGCCTGCTGCTACTGACAGTCGTTGACTACGGTTGGATAGACGCTGATAGACACACAGACAAGACAGGCGGACAGACAAGAGGAACAGAGACAGAGAGAGACGACATAGACAGAGATACAACAACCGCCATTCGCCACTAAGTGTCGGTGACGTCACCACGACGCTTGTGCCAGGCCATGTGCACCTTGAGGCCACGTGAAGTGTCGAACGCCCGCTGGCAGGTCACGGGGCAGACCCAAGTGCCACGGGTCGACTGACTAAAATGACTGAGATGACTGGCTGATGCACCACCTGTGCCCCCTACTGTGCCAACCTGCTGTGCTTTAGCCACCCGGCGCTCCGCTCGTTGTTGTGAGCGTCGCTCCTCCGCCCTCCGCTGTTGTTGGAGGGCGACTGCCTCCAACTGACCAGTACCGTCCTTCACGAGCCTCCTCCACAGAGGCCGATCTTGACACCACTGGTACCAGTCATCGGCAAGTCCACTCAGCTCCACGTCCTCCTGTACCACATCACTCCATCTCTTCTCTAGCCCGTGCCGCGCCCGTTTAGCCCCCTCGATCCGGCCGAACAAAAGCTGTTTCGGCATGTGGTGGATGGGCATGCGGGCCACATGACCCAGCCAACGCAGCCATGCCTGCCGGACCTCACCGGTGGGACCTTGCCCAGATCTTTCAAAGATTTGTGAGCTCCTCACACAATCCAGCCTGGTTAAATCCAGGATGGATCGTAGGCAGGCTAGCCTAAATGTTTCTAACCGGCGAAGATGTTCCATTAGGGGGGTCCACGTTTCGCAAGCGTAGAGAAGGGAGGGAATGACCGTGGCCGAGAAGACCTGAAGCTTAGTGCGGAGCGACAGACAGCTTCCACACAACGTTACGCAATCGATGAAAAGATATTGCCGCTCGACTGATTCGGAGTGAGACCTCTGCTGTTAAACTGGAGCCGGTCATAAGCACACTGCCCAGGTATGGGAAACTCTCCACTTTCTCCACAACTGCCCCATCACCGATTGGGAGTTGTGGGGGTGGAGTGTCCGATGGTACAAAAAACCCAGGCAGGTGCTTAGTTTTGGTGGGCTGATGGTAAGGCCCCATCTCTTAGTGGCACGCTCCAGAGACACAGGCAGAGAGAGACACTGAGGCGAACAGAGACACAGGCAGAGATAGAGATGTTGAATCGAACAAACGTAACTCGTACTCTTTGGTTTTTTCAGTAAAAAATTAATGAAAACTAAATCTAGTTGTAAAAATAAATGAAAACTAAATCTAGTTATATTCATTTATTTTATTGATTTTCATTTATTTTATTTCATTTATTTTTTTCCTACTTGATTTTTTACCTACGTGACTTCATCGAAAAAAACCAAACAGTATGAATCCTTGCAGTCACGAAAGCTTCAAATCTAAACTTAACTCGCTCCATTGAAATAAATTCCTCACTTTGCCCATCCCCGGAAGTCGTTCTTATTTCTATCAATGTCACCGTGGTGTGTACGTGTAAGCAGTGGGATATCGATTTACACAGCTATGAAACAGATCAGCAGCCAAGACGTCTTTCATACTCTTTGGTTCTTTCGGTAAAGTCACGTAGGTAGAAAAAAATAAAAAATAAATCACGACGTTTCGATCACAACACAAGCGGTCGTCCTCAGGCAAAAAAAATCCACATTGTCGCGGCAGAAGAAACAGTCACGTGAGCTATGGCACGTGACATAGATAAGGTGCCCCCGCCGTTTGCCAGAGGGTGGCGGCATGACATCCGCATTGTAAATGAAGGCAAGGGTGCTGGACGTGCCCGTGCCAGCCCGTGCCGCCAGTGCCACCATCACCCTGCTTCCGTGCTCTCCACGGAGGTGCCACTCTCTCCACCCCACCTCCCCCACCCCGTGGCTTGCCCCGCTCAGCCGAGCAGTTTTAATGCGGTGGGCTCACGCGAAATTGATTTCTGTAAGACGAAGGTACTTTGAAAACCCACTGGCTATACTCTTATACTGCTAGGAACCTCCTGGTTTCACCAGCCCACGGGGGATTATTGTGTCCATCCGTCGTGCATCCAAAAATGGGAGGGGTGGGGCTGGGTGGCGAGGGGTGGGTACGGGCTGGGTGGTGAGGGTGGGGCTGGGTGGGGGGTGGGGCTGGCTGGGTGGCGAGGGGCTGGTCACCCCGTGGTGCCCTTATAAAACTCAACGTTTAACCTACTCACGCCGGCTTGTGCCCACCCTCAGTCGGGCATATTTGCGGAATACACCACGCCGCCGTTGACCCTGGCCATTGACCGAGCAACCCAACGTTCCTACCAGCTCCCTCCGCAGGAATGTGTTACAAGCGCACTTCATCTATCTGCTGCACTTTGTCGTTTTCATGCAGGGGGCGTTGCACGAACGACGGAGGCGCAGAGACAGACGTTCGATTACGTTGGAATCGATCGCAGACGGCGGTCTTCTGGCACGGCCAGCTCTGTGTCGCCTTATCTCGATCCCGCAATCCCAAACAGGTGAAAGTCCGCATCGAACCGAAACCCCAGCAAGGCCATCTACTTAATGACGAGAGAAAATTCACACGAAATGTCTTTTTGAATGTAGTCTTTCAGATGTAAAATGATTAGCTTTTAATGAAATACAATGATTAGATAATACAATTATCTAATTCGAAATAATACTATTCAAAGTTGTTTCATTTTAAAACTTCAAAACGGACCATCAGGTGCTTGCGTGAATGCGTCGTTTGTGTGCAATTTTTTTCATGACTTTCCTGGCCCAAGGCCGTAAATGGTTATTCGGAGGCGCCGCAGGGGATCCGGCTTGCTTCAACCCATGGTTGTGAACATCCAGAAGTTAATCAGCAAGGACCATTTCCTGTCCTAGTTCGCCAACATATAAGACGTCATGCAAAATTATAATGAGCAAATCAGCAGACATGACATCTTTCATTTATTGATCTCTCCACGAAACAACGGAATGTTTTACACAAACTATAACTAGCACAGCCTTCTGGGAGTGCATCATTGATTCAGTGCAAGCCACCTGTGGATCCTTATTGGTGGACAGTCTCAACAGCAGTCGGGCTTGCTTCAACCCATGGTTACGGACACCCAGACGTTAATCAGCAAGGTGCATTTCTAGTCCTCATTCGACAAAATCTACGTCAACACATAATACAAAATTATAATTCGTGTTGGAAAGAATGTATCTCCTATACGTAACTTTTAAGTGGTATGTCTTGTAACTGAATTAATTATCCGAGTGTGCTCCCTATTTCAAAGACAATGAGTTGCTCCAGAGGCAGACGCTTGCTGAAAACACAAAAAATACAACAGGTCTCACCTGAGTTATCTGTACAGATGACTTCCAAAACACACACTTTGTCCAAACATCACTTATTCAATGTTTGACCCTTATAGACAAAATGTTACATGTACGCACACAATCAGACAAGTATTAATTCTAAACTATTGACAGGCATATGAACAAAATTTAATTACTGCACTGAAATATACTGCATCAGGTTACATCGTATTAACAAGAAGCTATACTATTCTAGATTTTAAGCTTTCGTGACTGCAAGGATCCATACTCTTTGGTTCTATTCGGTCAAGTCACGTAGGTAAAAAAATAAAATAAAAATCACGACGTTTCGGCCACAACACAAGCGGCCTTCATCAGGTGAAGGGACCAGACTGTCTCGAGGACAGCGCTGGAGTGAACACAGCTAAGCTCAGACCGCGACTTTTAAGCTGTGTTAGAGGAATCAAGGTGCCTTGACAAAGGAATTAGCATAAAAATTAGCATTTAATTGGCGTGGTTAGCATAATGAACGGTGTAGAGGGGGTGAACATGTGCAGGTGGGTGAGGGGGGGAGGTGTAAAAAGGGAAGAAAAGGGAAGCTGCGAAAGTTTGGGGTACCACTACTTGAAAAAATATACTGTACCATTGAAAATTCGTTTCAATGGTACAGAACCAAGGTTCTTTGCAAACCCATGGGTTTTTTTTTTATCAGAGATCTATTCACGAGGCAATTCAGATTTACAAACACAGACACAATTTCAACCGAGAAGATGGTTTCAAATTAAGCAACCATTGGAAAGATGTTCTAAATCGAACCAAACATTAAACTAATTTTCAATGGTACAGCATATTTTTTCAAGTAGTTGTACCCCAAACTTTCGCAGTATCCCTTTTTCTTCCCTTTTCACACCTCCCCCCCTCGCCGACCTGCACATGTTCACCCCCTCTACACCGTTCATCATGCTAAGTCCTATTATTGTTTCCCTTCAACGTGACTTTACCGAAAGAGCTAAGAATATTAATTACTGCAGTCACGAAAGCTTTAAATCAGGCTAAGTCCACCAATTAAATGCAAATTTTTATACTAATTCCTTTGTCAAGGCACCTTGATTCCTCTCACACAGCGTAAAGGTCGCGGTCTGAGCTTAGCTGTGTTCACTCCAGCGCTGTCCTCAAGACAGTCTGGTCACTTCACCTGATGAAGGCCGCTTGTGTTCTGGCCAAAACGTCGTGATTTTTGTTTTATTTTTTTAACTACATGACTTTACCGAATAGAACCCAAGAGTAAGAAGCTATACTCTTTGGTTCTTTTGGTAAAGTCACGTAGGTAGAAATAAAATATATCACGACGTTTCGAACACAACACAAGCGTCCGTTATCAGGCAATCAGGTTGTCTACAAGGTTCCAATCAGATGTGGACATTTCATCTGTTAATGTCAAGTGTGAGTAAAAGTGATCGGTATTACCTTGTGGCCGTGGCATCTCTTCAGAAAGGTCAGAGACTCGATCATGTGAGCCTTCTTGTTTCACAGTCTGTTAAAAGCTCTAACAGATGTGTGGAAACCCTCCCCGTAGAGGCAGTTCAATCTTGATTTGAAGCTTTCGTGACTGCAGGAATCCACTCCTAATTTAACAAGCAATTAAAAAAAAAGTATGCACTTTCTGCTTAACAGTGTACGTACAATATATTATTGCGTCATTCAAAACGAGTAGGCCATTGCATGCTGGCGTCTCAGTCAAAATTTAGCAAGTTCTAAACATTACCTACAAATGACATAACTGAGATGACACATCAATCATTGCCCCCTGCTGACAGGCTATTGTCCACATGCAGGCCGGCGCAGGGCCACCACCTTGTGCCACACAGGGGCAGCTGCTACTTGGGGATGCTCTTCGAGTGTTTGAGACTAGATACGATACAAAACTCCGAATTGCCGAGGCGATTAAGCAAGGACCATGAAAACGCAAATTATTAGAACATAGTGAATGCTTGGGAGCTTATTGGCTCTCGCTCCTGGTGAGAGATCTACCCAACCCACAGGTCCACAAAGACTGGCCGCTCTTACCCTGCAGGTTGAACCTAGGAATTGAGTGTTCAACTTCACATTCTTGTCATTCAAGGCCTGTGACAAAGATGCATCTATTGGAGCGACATCGTCTCTGGTTTACACATCTACCGGGTCTCCATTTGACTTTGTATTGTCTCGGAGGAAGTCCACCCACACCTCCACTTCCACAAACTGCTGGGAGTTGCCTTGCTCTGCCTCGCAGTCAGAATTCTCCTCCTGCTTCACATTGCCTCCATCGATGTGAAGGTCCCATTTTGGAGCTGAATCTTCATTTTCACATTTTACCTTCACTTCTTCGCTCTTCACCATCACTTCTTCACATTTCACCTTCACCTCTTCATATTTCACCTCGATACCTTTAAAAGCGTCCAAGCTGGGATTTTCTTCCTGTTCTTGTTTAATGAGGGATGGGCTCATTGCGCCACTTTGACTTTCACAAGCTGATTTCAGAATCCACTCCTTGTGGATCTTCTGATGCTTGTGTGTTCTATGGTGGGCATTAAGATTTGATGAAAGTGTAAAAATCTTCCCACATGGAGTGCACCTGAAGGGTTTTTCTCCCGTGTGTGTTCTCTGGTGTGCTACAAGAGCAGACGACTGTGCATACGCCTTCCCACACACACTGCACTTGAAGGGTTTCTCTCCCGTGTGTGTTCTCTGGTGTGCTGCAAAAGGAGATGCATGTGCAAATGCCTTCCCACACACACTGCACATGAAGGGTTTCTCTCCCGTGTGTGTTCTCTGGTGTGCTATAAGAGAAGATGAATGTGCAACCCCCTTCCCACACACAGTGCACATGAAGGGTTTCTCTCCCGTGTGTGTTCTCTGGTGTGCTACAAGATGCGATGAATGTGCAAACGCCTTGCCACACACACTGCACTTGAAGGGTTTCTCTCCTGTGTGTGTTCTCTGGTGTATTACAAGTGTAGATGAATGTGCAAACGGCTTCCCACACACACTGCACTTGAAAGGTTTCTCTCCCGTGTGAGTTCTCTGGTGAATTACAAGATTGTATGAATCTGAAAAAGCCTTATCGCACAGAGTGCACTTGAAGGGTTTCTCTCCTGTGTGTGTTCTCTGGTGCTTTTTAAGAACAGTTGACTTTGAAAATGCCTTCCCACACACACTGCACTTGAAAGGTTTCTCTCCCATGTGTGTTCTCTGGTGGGCCTGAAGGACTGATGGCCATGCAAATGCCTTGTCACACACAGTGCACTTGAAAGGTTTCTCTCCCGTGTGTGTTCTCTGATGGGCCTGAAGAGCTGATGGCAATGCAAATGCCTTGTCACACACAGTGCACTTGAAAGGTTTCTCTCCTGTGTGTGTTCTCTGGTGAGCCTGAAGCGCTGATGGCCATGAAAATGCCTTGTCACACACATTGCACTTGAAAGGTTTCTCTCCTGTGTGTCTTCTCTGGTGGGCCTGAAGAGCTGATGGCAATGCAAATGCCTTGTCACACACAGTGCACTTGAAAGGTTTCTCCCCTGTGTGAGTTCTCTGGTGCTGTGTCAAATTTCCAGTATGATCCATGCTGTTTGCACGCTGGTCCCATTGTTGACTTTTTGCACCGAGCTGCACCGAGTGCCTTTGCTCCATCAGACCAATTCTGCAGAGGAAGCGACAGCTGCAGACAAAAAAAATATATCCACACCATCTACACGTCAGTATCGAGGCACAGGGTAATGCATATACACAGTCACACGTGACTTACACGTCTATACTTATTAATATATTCATGATGTAGTGAAAAAGTGTCCCAAATTCATCACGTGGGCTGTGATTGCACACAATGAAAGGGCAAATTGTCACAAATATGCCTGGAAGCCCTAGTATCTTGAAAATGAATGTTAACCCAGAACTCCGAGCACACAATTTCGGCTGTCTGGCTAAAAAAGGAATATTTATAAAAGCTAAATTCAGCTGACATAGCAAAGGGCGTTGAAAATAATACTATTTGTGTTATGCAGAAATGCATAAATTAATGTTCAATCGCAACTTAGAGGTGTGAAGCCAGGCTCAGATTTCCTTGAATGCTGGGATGAACAGATCTGACTTCAGCTGCACGTGTGCTGTGATAACTTCCTGACTCCATTCTTAAAGAGTTCCAGAGGAAAAAAAATATAAACTACTCTTTAGATTTCACCTCCGTGCTAAATAGAGTTAATAGATACTCTTTGGTTCTTTCTGTAAAGTCACGAAGGTATAAAATAAAATAAATCACAACGTTTCAGGCGCAACACAAGCGTCCATTATCAGGTGGGATGGGCGCTTGTGTTGCGCCCAAAACGTTTTTTATTTTATTTTCTACCTACGTGACTTTACCGAAAGAACCAAAGAGTATGGATTCCTGCAGTCATGAAAGCTTCAAATCAAGATAGAGTTAATAGACTTGACTACAAATACAAACTTGACACTTCACGTTGACACTTCAAGTTATTTTATTTGATCAATTTATTATTTTATTCTCATTCTACGTGACTTTACCGAAAGAACCAAAGAAGATGAATCCTTGCAGTCACGAAAGCTTTCAATCGAAATTTAAACTTGACACTGTTACACACTCAGAGGCAGAGCCAGGATTTTCAGGTGGGGCAACCCCTCCAGCAATGAAAAATGATAGCAGTTGTTAGTAAGGAGTTGTTAGTAAGGGCTTGTCCCTTGCTTTGTATTCGACGCGTGTGATCGGCATTGCACTCGCTGAAGGTGTTTGCCTTCAGGGAAGTCGTGTACTGTATCCGCAACTGGGCACAATTCTGCGAGTCGCTTGTAACTGCTTTGCCGTTACTTATTGCCAATTATGGACTTGGACTGTTGTCCTATTATCTCATAGAGTCCCTGGCACGTAATAATATGCCACACGGTGGCAGTGGGGGGTTCGCAAAATTCCAATTTACGTATATAAAAGGGAAATTTGTGGATACGTGTGTCTGTTCGAAATGTTTAGCATACTTCCCAACATGCTACACACTTGAAATTTGGCATGTGGGTAGGTTCCATACTCTACACAATGCAAAACGTATAAAAATACTTTTGTATTTGGGGGGGGGAAATGACCATGAACTGAGTGGCGTCAACCCACAACACACCTTAGTTAAGCGCTCTGCAATGCTTACAAATATCGTATGGCTCTTCGCGCGCCGTACTTCTAGAGCTGTTAACGGCGTGCCGAGAGATTTTAGGTGGCGCTTCGCTCCTGGCTGATGAAGCCATTGGCTTCTCGGAGTTTCAATAGATATCTGTGCGAATAACGGGTGCAACTTCTATCTTAAATACAAAGCAGAAATGACATATCCTTGGTTCTTTCGGTAAAGTCACGTAGAAGGGAAACAATAAAATAATATTTTAAAATAATATTTTATTGTTTCCCTTCTACGTGACTTTACCGAAAGAACCAAGAATATGAATCCCTGCAGTCACGAAAGCTTTAAATCAGAAATGACATGTTTGTTTGTGTGAAGCAGCAAAAACTCTCCAACTCTGAGCCCTGGGGTCATGAAAATTCCACAGCTTATGCTGTCTGGAATTTCTAAGTGAACGCGACTATTTTCAGCTTGCAACGTCATTCCCTTCCCGAGTGGCCAAAATCGACCTTACGGGGTTAAGGTTGAATTTCCTTCAGTGAAAACATCCGATTTAGTTAAATTCATTTGTTTCGGCTTTTTTCATTCTTGCAAGCATCAAATTTTTTCAGTGTTTTTCAGTGAAATAAGGGAATATGAAATTAATCCAAGACAACAATCCAAATCCCGGGCGAAGCCGGATAGTGAAGCTAGTTACTAATAAATCCCAATGATCCTATTGAAATTAGGGATTTCGATCGGGTCGTTGGGGAGGCACAAGCCACCCCACCCCCACTGGCTCCGCCACTGTCACGCACTGGCATGGTGCACAGGTGGTGGTGTGTCCAGACCCACGCCTGGCCACCGTCACCTGCTCAGTAACACATTCCTGCGAAGGGAGATGATAGGAACGTTGGGTTGCTTGGTCAATGGCCAGAGTTAACGGCGGCGTGGTGTATTCCGCAAATTTGCCCGACTGTGAGGGCGGGCACAAGCCGGCGTGAGTAGGTTAAACGTTGAGTTTTATAAGGGCACCACGGGGTGATCAGCCACTCCCCACCCAGCCCCACCCCTCCCCACCCTCCCCACCCCCCACCCAGCCCCTCCCCACCCAGCACCTCCTAAACCAGCACCACCCTCACCACCCAGCACCACCCTCCCCACCCTCCCCTATCAACCCAGCCCCACCCCTCCCATTTTTGGATGCACGACGGACGGCCACAATAATCCCCTGTGGGCAGGTATAACCAGGAGGTTCCTACCAGTATTAATGCTTCCTCAATCCACCAAGTAATTGAGGATCAATCAACACAGCCAAGGCTGCGTATCTCTCTCCCCTCGTGGTCGCGTGGATTTCCCTCCGGATCCCTCAGTTTCCCCTCCACATGTAGAGAGTGAACACCGCCACGCTGTTGACAAGCCTCACCTGGTGTTGTTGTTGTGGGCAGGTCGCTTCTGAAAACAAGAGCGGTAAAGCAGCTCAAGCGGGCTTGGCCTGGTAAAAAAAAATAAAAAATTGTGTGAATATTTAAAGTAAAACAAAGTTACAAAGTGGCGAGATAATTGAAGCAAACGCGATCAATTGAAGCAAACGCGATCAGGCGAGGGCAGGAGGCAAGGCCCCGCGTTGTAAAGTTCCAACCGAGACATCGCTTCCATGCTCGCTGCTACTCAATTGACATCCCTACGAGCGAGAGAAAGAGCGAGGCTCCACCTCGGTAAACAACAACCACCACAACCACAATCACCACAACCGCGATAAGAATTTCTCACCTCGGATTTCAGTGCACGGGCGGAGCAGCAGCTTCCTGTTACCTCGCGACGTCACGCGGCAGCAGCTGACATGACGTCACTTGTGAGGTACGATAACACTCCCCCTCCCACAATGAGCGGCTCCGTACGTAAAGCAATAATGTTAATGAGCCCGGCCCATATGTCAGTTTTTTCAATTTTATTTATTTGGTATAGCACTGTGAGCCATTCGGCTCTTGAATCGGGTGCAACCGCAACAAACAAAAAACATGAACAAGAAAACATCTTATAGTGACTATGCACAAACAGAAAGATCCAGGAAAAACTGCAAAGTTTTCCAGAAAAAAGGCACCGTACACCAACGCTGTGCAAAAATCCCATGTCGAGGGATGTGGCGTGGGTGCCGAACCCGTCGGAATAAACTCGCGAGTTTACGAATGCATTATGTTAATGTGCCGCCAGTCACCGGGCGGAGGTGACGTCACGCTCAAGAGACCGGTGGTCGGGTGAATACCTTGGTGACAAAACGTCACTAGCGAGGCACACCCCCCCTAAGGTTTGACGCCGATGACGTCATGCTGAGTGATGACGTCAGAGAGCGGGGTCAGAGTGCAAGTTTGTTGACAGAAGGGGAGCGGCAGTGTCGTGGTGAGCGCTGCGCTCCGCACCCCACCAGCCGAGTTCAATTCCCGCTCGTGGCCAACACCGGTGACGATTTTATGAAACGACCTCTCCTACGTCGACTCAGCCTCAAACGAGTACCCGGTGCGGTGTGTAAACATCGCCAATAGGGAGACAAAGGCCGCCAGGCGTGGTCCTGGCCACCTACCCCCTCGTGTGCCGTCCCACCCTTAATAGATGCTCGCTAACAGCACTTGCCCCAACATTCTGTCCAGGCTATATGGGGGATCTTTGTCCTAGGTGCCCACTAACAGCACTTGCCCCTACAGTCTGTCCATGCTATACGGGGGATCTTTGTCTGTGTTAGGTGCTCACTAACAGCACTTGCCCCAACATTCTGTCCAGGCGCCTGCTGCTACTGACAGTCGTTGACTACGGTTGGACAGACGCTGATAGACACACACAGACAAGACAGGCGGACAGACACAGACAAGAGGAACAGAGACAGATATATACGACAAAGACAGACACAGGCAGAGAGAGACACACAGAGGCGAACAGATACACAGACGGATAGAGAGATGTTGAATCGAACACACTTAACTCGCCCCATTGAAAGAGATTCCTCGATCTTTGCCCATCCCCGGAAGTCGTTCTAGTTTCTATTTATTTCACTGTGGTGTGTATGTGTAAGCAATGTGAGGTATCGTTGTACACAGATATCAACAAGATCAGCAGACAAGAAAAAAATAAAAAAATTACGTTTCGATCGCAACACGAGCGGTCGTCCTCAGGCAAAAAAATTCCAGACATTGTCGCGGCAGAAGTCACGTGAGCTATGGCACGTGACATAGATAAGGTGCCCCCCCCCCCCCCCCATGGCTCGCCCTGCTCAGTTAAGCATTGTTTTAATGGGGTGGGTACGCGCGAATTTGATTTCTGTAAGACGAAGGTACTTTGAAACCCCACTTTGAAAACCCACTAGCTATACTTTTAAATAAGCGTACAACTTCATCTATCTGTAACGAACGCTGCACTTTTCGTCATTTTCATACAGGGGGCGATGTACACCTACACGCCCCCTGCATGAACGACGGAGGCGCACGGACAGACGTTCGATCACGTTGGAATCGATCTGCAGACGGCGGTCTTCTCGCACAGCCAGCTCAGCTGTGTCGCCTTATCTTGATCCCGCGATCCCAACCAGGTGAAAGTCCGCATCGAATCGAATCCCCGGCAAGGCCATCTACTTAACGACGAGAGAAAATGCACACGAAATGTCGTTTTCAATTAAGTCTTCTAGATGTAAAATGATAAACTTTTAATGAAGAAATACAATGATCTAATTCAAAGCATAATACAATTCAAGGTTGTTTCATTTGAAAACTTAAAAACGGAGCATCAGGAGGTTGCGTGAATGCGTCGTTCTTGTGCAATTGTTTTCGTGACTTTCCTGGCCAAAGGCCGTAAATGGTTGTGAGGGGTGCCGCAGGCGGTCCGGCTTGCTTCAACCCATGGTTGTGAACATCCAGACGTTAATCAGCAAGGACCATTTCCTGTCCTAGTTAGCCAAATATAAGATGTCATGCTAAATTATAATTAGTGTTGTTGTGGAGAATGTATCTACTAGATGTGCTCTGCCTTGTAACCGAATAGAAATCTGTACTAAGAATGCATTTTACGTGCTCTTACAATTACCTCCTTGCTATGAAGCAGATCAGCAGACATGACATCTTTCATTTATCGATCTCTCCAGAAAACAAAGGAATGTTTTACACAAACTATAACACAGCCTTCTGGAAGTGCATCATTGATTCAGTGCAAGCCACCTGTGGACCCTTATGGGTGTACAGTGTGTCAAGAGCAGCCAGGCTTGCTTTAACCCATGGTTACAGACATCCAGACGTTAATCAGCAAGGAGCATTTCTAGTCCTAGTTAGACAAAATCTACGTCAACACGTAATACAAGATTATAATGCGTGTTGTAGAGAATGTACCTCCTATACGTGTAACTTTTGAGTGGTATGCCTTGTAACTGATGAATGATCCGAGTGTGCTCCCCATTTCAAAGACAATGAGTTGCTCCAGAGGCAGACGCTTGCTGAAAACACAAAAATACCCTTTGACCTGTATCACAAGCGCAACGGGTCTCACCCGAGTTATCTGTACAGGTTACTTCCAAAACACACACTTTGTCCTAACATCACTTATTCAATGTTTGACAAAATGTTACATGTACACACACAATCAGACAAGTATTCATTCTAAATTATGGAGTCATTTTAACAAAATTTAATTATATCGTATTAACAAGAATATTTTTTAAAAAATATGCACCGTCTGCTTAACAGTGTATGCACAACATACTATGCCATTTTAAATAAGTAGGCCATTGCATGCTGCCGTCTCGGTCAAAATGTAGCAAATTCTAAACATTACCCACAAACTCCACAACTGAGATGCCACATCAACCATCACCCCCTGCTGACAGGCTCTTGTCCACATGCAGGCCGGTGCAGGGCCACCACCTTTTTGCTACACAGGGGCAGCTGCTACTTGGGGGTGCTCTTCGAGTGTTTGCGACGAGATACGATACAAAACTCCGAATTGCTGAGGCGATTAAGCAAGCACCATATAAATGCAGTTATGACAGTAAATGCTTGGGAGCTTATTTGTTCTCGCTCCTGGTTAGAGATCCACGCAACCAACAGGTCCACAAAGACTGGCCGCTCTTACCTGCAGGTTGCACCTAGGAATTGAGTTCAACTTCACATTCTTGTCATTCAAGGCCTGTGACAAAAGTGCATCTATTGGCGCGACATCGTCCCAAGTTTACACATCTACCGGGTCTCCATTTGACTTTGTATTGTCTCGGAGGAAGTCCACCCACACCTCCACTTCCACCAACTGCTGGGAGTTGCCTTGCTCTGCCTCACAGTGAGAATTCTCCTCCTGCTTCACATTGCCTCCATCGATGTGAAGGTCCAATTTTGGAGTTGAATCTTCATCTTCACATTTCACCTTCACCTCTTCATATTTCACCTCGATACCTTTAAAAGTGTCCAAGCTGGGATTTTCTTCCGGTTCTTGTTTCAGGAGGGATGGGCTCATTGCGGCACTTTGACTTTCACAAGCTGATTTCAGACTCCACTCCTTGTGGATCTTCCGATGCTTGTGTGTTCTCTGGTGTCTTTGAAGATTTGGTGAAAGTGAAAACGCCTTCCCGCACGGAGTGCACCTGAAGGGTTTCTCTCCCGAGTGTGCTCTCTGGTGTGCTACAAGAAGAGATGAATGTGCAAACGCCTTCCCACACACACTGCACTTGAAGGGTTTCTCTCCCGTGTGTGTTCTCTGGTGTGCTCCAAGATCAGATGAACGTGCAAACGCCTTCCCACACACACTGCACTTGAAGGGTTTCTCTCCCGTGTGTCTTCTCTGGTGTTCTACAAGAGCAGATGACTGTGCAAACGCCCTCCCACACACACTGCACTTGAAGGGTTTCTCTCCCGTGTGTGTTCTCTGGTGTTCTACAAGAGCAGATGAACGTGCAAACGCCTTCCCACACACACTGCACTTGAAGGGTTTCTCTCCCGTGTGTGTTCTCTGGTGTTTTTCAAGAGCAGATGACTGTGAAAATGCCTTCCCACACAGTGCACTTGAAGGGTTTCTCTCCTGTGTGAGTTATCTGGTGGGCCTGAAGAGCTGATGGCCATGCAAATGCATTGTCACACACAGTGCACTTGAAGGGTTTCTCTCCTGTGTGAGTTCTCTGGTGGGTCTTTAGAGCTGATGGCCATGCAAATGCCTTGTCACACACAGTGCACTTGAAGGGTTTCTCTCCTGTGTGAGTTCTCTGGTGGGTCTTTAGAGCTGATGGCCATGCAAATGCCTTGTCACACACAGTGCACTTGATGGGTTTCTCTCCTGTGTGAGTTCTCTGGTGCCGTGTGAAATTTACAGGATGATCCGTGTTGTTTGCACGCTGGTCCCATTGTTGCCATGTCGTACCGAGCTGCGCCGAGTGCCTTTTCTCCATCAGACCAATTCTGCAGAGGAAGTGACAGCTGCAGACAGAAACAAAGAATATCCACACCATCTACACGTCAGTATCGATGCACAGAGGAATGCATATATAGACAGTCACACGTGACTTACACGTCTATACGTATTCATATATTCATGACGTAGTGAAAAAGTGTCCCAAATTCATCACACGGGCTGTTATAGCACACAATGAGATGTCAAATTGTCACAAACGTGCCTGGAAGCCCTAGCATCTTCAAAATGAATGTTAACCCAAAACTCCAAGCACACAATTTCGGCTGTCTGGCTTCAAAAGGAATATCTATGAAAGCTAAATTCAGCAGACATAGCAAAGGGTGTTGAAAATAATACTATTTATGTTATGCACAAATGCATAAATTAATGTTCAATAACAACTTAGAGGTGTGAAGCCAGGCACAGATTTCCTTGAATGCTGGGATGAACAGATCTGACTTCAGCTGCACGTGTGCTGTGATAACTTCCTGACTCCATTCTTACAAAGAGTTCCAGAGGAAAACAAAAAACTACTGTTTAAATATAACCTCCGTGCTCAATAGAGTTAATAGACTTTACTGCAAATAAAAAATTGACACTGTCACACACTCAGAGGCAGAGCCAGGATTTTCAGGTAGGGGGGGCAACACCTCCAGCAATTAAAAATTATATGAGTTGTTAGTAAGGAGTTAGTAAGGAGTTGTTAGTGAGTAAGGACTTGTCCCTTGCTTTGTATTTGACGCGTGTGATCGGCATTGCGCTCGTTGAAGGTGTTTGCCTTCAGGGAAGTCGTGTACTGTATACACAACTGCGCACAATTCTGCGAGGCGCTTGTAACTGCTTTTCCGTTACTTATTGCCAATTATGGACTCGGACTGTTGTCCTATTATCTCATAGAGTCCCTGGCACGTAATAATATGCCACACGGTGGCAGTGGGGGGTTCTGGAAAATTCCAATTTATGCATATAAAAGGGAAATTTGTGGATACGTGTCTCTGTTCGAAATGCTTAGCATACTTCCCAACATGCTACACACTTGAAATTTGGCATGTGGGAAGGTTCAATACTGTACACAATGATAAAAGTATAACAATAGACTTTTGTATTGGGGGGGGGGGGGGGGGGGGGTGAGAAAATGACCATGAAGTGAGTGGCGTCAACCCACAACACACCTGAGTTAAGCGCTCTGCAATGCTTACCCCTAACGTATGGCTCTTCGCGCGCCGTAGTTCTAGAGCTGTTAACGGCGTGCCGGGAGATTTTAGGTATTGCGCTTTGCTCCTGGCCGATGAAGCAATTGGCTTCTCGGAGTGTCAATACATATCCGTGCGAATAACGGGTACAACTGCTATCTTAAATATAAAGCAGAAATTACATATTCTTGGTTCTTTCGGTAAAGTCAAGTTGAAGGGAAACAATAAAATATTTTAAATTAATATTTTATTCTTGGTTCTTTCGGTAAAGTCACGTAGAAGGGAAACAAAATCATATTTAAAAATAATATTTTGTTTCCCTTCTATGTGACTTTACCGAAAGAACCAAGAATATGAATCCCTGCAGTCACAAAAGCTTTAAATCAATTACTGCTAGATATTAATATTCATACTCTTTGGTTCTATTTGGTAAAGTCACGTAACAAACAACAAAAAAATAAAAATAAAAAATTCACGACGTTTCGGCCACAACACAAGTGGCCTTCATCAGGTGAAGGGATCGTGCTGTCATGAGGACAGCGTTGGAGTGAAAACAGCCAAGCCCAGGTCGCATCCTTTAAGCTGTGTGGGAGAAAGCAAAGCGCTTGACAAATGAATTAGTATAGAAATGAGCACGATATATATAGGAGGTGTATGGGCCATGATGGACCAGGAGCGGGTGGGGACCATAACGGACCAGCAGCAGGGGGGGGGGGGGGGGGGAGTAGAGTGAGTGAGTGGAGTGAGTGAGTGGAGTGAGTGGAGTGAGTGAGTGGAGTGAGTGAGTGGAGTGAGTGGAGTGAGTGAGTGGAGTGAGTGAGTGGAGTGAGTGGAGTGAGTGAGTGGAGTGAGTGGAGTGAGTGAGTGGAGTGAGTGAGTGGAATGAGTGGAGTGAGTGAAGGGATCAGACTGTCCAGAGGACAGCGCTGGAGTGCACACAGTCAAGGTCAGACCGCGACCTCTAAGCTGTGTGAGAAGAAGCCGAGCGCCCTGACAAAGGAATTAGCATAAAAGTTAGCATTTCATTGGCGGACTTAGAATGAAGGACGATGTACTGGGGAGCATGTGCAGACAGGCGAGGGGGAGAGGGGGGAGCCCACATATTGATGGTGTGAAAAGGGAATTTAAGCAGCTGCGAAAGTTTGGGATACCACTGCTTAAAAAATATACTGTAACATTGAAAATTAGCTTAATGTTTGGTGTGATTCAGAACATCTTTCCAATGGTTGCTTAATTGATGGACCAGGAGCTGGTGGGGACCATGACGGACCAGCAGCGGGGGGGGGGGGGGGGGGGGAGTAGAGTGAGTGAGTGGAGTGAGTGGAGTGAGTGAGTGGAGTGAGTGAGTGGAGTGAGTGAGTGGAGTGAGTGGAGTGAGTGAGTGGAGTGAGTGAGTGGAGTGAGTGAGTTGAGTGAGTGAGTGGAGTGAGTGAGAGGAGTGAGTGGCGTGAGTGAGTGGAGTGAATAGGTGGAGTGAGTGAGTGGAATGAGTGGAGTGAGTGAAGGGATCAGACTGTCCAGAGGACAGCACTGGAGTGCACACAGTGAAGCTCAGACCGCGACATCTAAGCTGTGTGAGAGGAAGCAGAGCGCCCTGACAAAGGAATTAGCATAAAAATTAGCATTTCATAGGCGGACTTAGAATGAAGGACGATGTACTGGGGGGGAGCATGTGCAGACAGGCGAGGGGGAGAGGGGGGGAGCCCACATATTGATGGTGTGAAAAGGGGGAATTTAAGCAGTTGCGAAGGTTTGGGATACCACTACTTAAAAAATATACTGTACCATTGAAAATTAGTTTAATGTTTGGTTTGATTCAGAACAT